TCTAACTTGATAATGATATTTAACACAAACATGAAATATTTACAGACAAGTGCATATTGTTTAGTTTCTCCTGAAGGAGTGATTTTTTGATTGACAACAATAAAACATTACACTTTTTCCTTCAACTGACACCCACACCATGCTGAACTTTTAGGGTTCCTAAGTGACTTCAAACCCTACATTTCTGTCAGAAGTTCATGCTACATCCATGACACTTTTTGCTTCCTAAAATCTCTTCCATCAACTAAAATCGTAGTCATATAATTTAATTAAGTATGACAAATCTGATCAAATACCAATGTAAAAGAGAGGGCTGAGTTTCTATTGAAACAATGTTGAATGTCTCAAGCACAGCACAGATGAGCTTCACAAAAAAAAAAAGTTCATATTTAAATAAATGAATGGGTGTGAGATCATTCTAAAGCACTGGGGATAGGGTTTTAAAAATATTAAATAATGTTCTACCCCTCAGGCTGTTTTGCTAGTGCCTTTTAGCTTCTGATTCCCATTTTAAATGGATCCAGGAAGTCATATTTTTTTTCCCAGTAACTGCAGAAAAAAGAATACATTTTTGCGTTTCATGATATGTTTTCAGAGGTAAGGATAGGGAGTTCTGGAATCTAAATCAGTGTAAGGAGAGGACAGCTTTTCTCAACATTAGAACTGTCCTTAGCTATAGAGGTTTATCTCACTGAACATGATGTCATATGAGGGACCCTTGCCAGGATGGCCCTGGTCATCCTGTTCCATTCCTTTTAAATATGAGATTTTATGATGAATTTCATGTGTATTATTTTTTTTTCATGTTCAGTGCTTTTATGAGAGCTTATCCCAGTAACTGATCATCCTGATGTGTTGGAGGTGTGACCTCAATCCAGTTGGCATACCTAAGCCAAAAGTCAAACCGTGGCTATGCTGAAAAGCGGTTTAAATAGAAATAATGCCCCTGCATTTCCAAATATTGATTTTCCTACCATAAAATGATCTCAGCTCGAGGTATTTAGAGGATGGAAGGTGGGGCAATTAAATCGTAAATACTAATAGATTCAGCATAGCAAACTTTAATGTTGAAGTACCTTTCAAAATGCACATATAGTTACTCTGTTACCAAAATTATTAACTATTAAAAGTTAAGTAAAAATAGGCCTCATAAAAATAGGCCTCAAAAGAATAAAACATCATAGAATGTTGAAATTTAAAGTGGAACATTATATTAGAATATAATATAAATACTTCTTTAATGCTGTTATTGTGTTATTATTCTAGTATATAACAAATATATACATATATGTATACGAATATGTTTGTGTATATATAAATATATGTGTGTGTGTATATATATATATATATATATATATATATATATATATAGAGAGAGAGAGAGAGAGAGAGAAAGAGAGAGAGAGATGTGTATATATATATATATATATATATATATATATATATATAGACATTTTTTTTTAAGATTTCAAGGCAACAACTTGAAGGATGTATCAATGGTTCTCAACCATAGTTACACATAAATGTTACCTGGGGAGCATGTAAAGTTTATACGTGTGGAGTCTTATCCTGAACCATTTATGCAAAGTCTCTGCAGCTAGGTTGGGAATTCCAGTATAAAATGGATAAGCTTTCCATTTGTTTTCCTTCAATGCAGGTGCACACACACATAGGCAATTTCATAAGCAAATCTCATTTCTAGGGAATTCACCATGATTTAGTTCACCTGTCCAGCACTGCATGACTAAATATGACAGAAAGAGTTTAAAATCAGCCACTGTTGTCCTCAGGGAATTCATATTTTGGATGTTCTGCTCAGTTCTAAAACATTAGTATCATTTATTGACTTATGCTTACAACAAATGTTATACACAATTTACATAAGAAAACAACAAATAAAACCAAGGTCTAACACAGATTCCATACTGGGGAAAAATTTCTCTCTCTTAACAGCGCTTAACACACAATCAAAATAGACTTTGTCTGAAGTGAAGAAACAAAGACCTTCATTTTTGTGTTAATTTCAGGAATGAGTACCTCTCAAATAAGCTTGAACAATTATATTTTCATTTTTTTCTGACATTGCTGAATTTTTAAAATTTCAACAATCATTGGCTCTTTTAAAAAGACTAAGCATTTTTCCCACAAAAGTCAATAATTTCTCTTAAGAGAAATAAAAGATGATATTACAAAAATACTTCTTATAAAAATCACAAATGTTCCAATATTTTTTCAACCTATATTTTCATAGTTCTTTATTCGTTCATTTGTCTTGTAGTGTTTGCAGTTTTTACTTTGCTGAGCCTCTAGAAAGCTAACAAGCTTGAGTTTGAACTCTGATCAAATAATATTCAAAGTGGTCATATTGTGAAAAAACAGATATTTTTTTAAAATTATGCCCTAGTCTTGTCATTTAACTGAAATAAATAAACTTGGGGGGGGTCCAAAATACAGAAACATGAATAAGAATGAAACTGATATTCCAACCTGCCTATAGTGTCTGACACCCAGGACTCAAAGTATCTGTCTTCTGGACAACTTGTACCATCTCAGGGCTACTCAGCTTCCAGATTAATAATGTCATTGGGGGGCTCAGTTGACCATCAGAGTCAGCATGGGATTTGGAGCTCACCATTACCGTGCAATAAATAAAAAGCCTCAAGAGTTGTTCAAACATAGTGAATGATGGAAAACATAAAATGATCTTTTCAAGAAGGCATGCCTCTGTGATCTTTGATTTTGATCTAGTATAAATAGCCTAGAGCAACACTTTCTCTTTAAGGGGGGGAAAAAAAACCCTGGAAGTCCTAATTTGAATTTCAATAACAACAAACTTAAAAACAGTAGCAAGAGTTTAATATAATTTCTTATGAGGCTAAGAGTTCTGTTTAATTTTATTGTTGTATGCAATTCCCCTTTCCTGGTGTCAGTGAAAACAATCAAGAGTAGAATGGGTGGTTCAAAGTGCAAAAGTGGCCAAGTTAAATTTGTATGGGCAACAATAAAGATGATGATTTGAGGTTTCTGAAGAGCCACGTATTCATTGTAATCATATTTTTAATCTTCCTATATAAATAAAGCATTTACTGAAAATGGCACATGTAAATAAATATCAAATATGGATTATGTTGAAGATCAATTTTAGGAACAACATTGATAGAAACACTTGATTTGTAAGCTAAGGCTTCACTGTGTGCCTAGTACACAGGGAGAACAATGGAGCACCCTATGGTACTGGAAATATACAGGAAAGAATTGACTTAACCACAGATGAATTTATGAGGACTGTGTTTTAAGCACTTAATAACATAGTGATCATCATTTTTGAGTTCTTTAAATACCCCAGATATTAGTGCCCTATCTGATATGCAAGTGATAAAAATTTGCTCCCAAACTGTAGGCTCTCTATACATATCACTGACATTGTTTCTTTAGCTGAGAAGAAGCTTTTTAGTTTGAATCTATCCCATTTATTAATTCTTGATTTTAATTCTTGCACTATAGGAGTCTTGTTAAGGAAGTAGGAGCCTAATCTGATATGATGGAGATTTGGGCCTACTTTTTCTTCTAGTAGATGCAGGGTCTCTGGTTTAATTCCTAGGTCCTTGATCCACTTTGAGTTGAGTTTTGTGCATGGTGAGAGATAGGGGTTTAATTTCATTTTGTTGCATATGGATTTCCAGTTTTCCCACCACTATTTGTTGAAGAGGCTATCTTTTCACCAGTGTATATTTTTGGTGCCTCTGTCTAATGAAAGACAACTGTAATTATATGGGCTTGTCTCTGTGTCCTCTATTCTGTACCATTGGTCTACCAGTCTATTTTACAGCTAATACCATGCTGTTTTTGTTACTATTCCTCCGTAGAATAGTTTAAGGTCTGGTATAGTGATGCCACTTGCTTCATTCTTCTTGCTAAGAATTACTTTAGCTATTCTGGGTCTGGTTTTCCGGATGAATTTCATGACTGCTTTTTCTCTTTCTATGAGGAATGTCATTGGAATTTTGAACTAAATCTGTATAATGCAATTTAATTGCAATTTAATGCAACTTAATTACATTAAATCTGTATAATGCTTTTGGTAGTATGGTTATCTTGATAATATTAATTCTCCCTATCCAAGAACAAGGGACTTGCCTAGCACTGAGTTTGATCCCTAGCACCACATAAAACTAAATAAACAAAATAAAGGTTAAAAAAAAATAGGGATCATCAAACAAGTCCTCCAACATAGTCTCAGACCTATGGAAATCTTCTATGATGGCAACTCGGTATAAATGCAAAATCAAGTAATAAGAAGAAGGACCATCTGTCAGGACTATCCTAAAAGCAGTTTTAAACAGATACGATTAGCACTTTCTAGGGATAATGACATCCTTGGTACAAACATATCAGCACTTTTGGAATATATACTGTATTTCTAAAGCAAAGAAATACATAGAGTTGTCTTAGCTGGATTCCAGAAAAAAAATCATTCAATATCTTCACTGATTCAATTTATTCATCCATCAATTTTCATAAAGTTAGGATTAAAATTTGCTTCCCATGTAGCTCTACCTACCAGTTTGGATATCACAACCTCTATCCTTCATTGTAACTTAATAAGTTTTTGTAATTTACTCATCATTTTATGTGGGCTTTGATAATGTGATTAGGTTCATTCTCCCTGGCACTAACAATATGAATTTTGCAAACACACAAAGCTGAGGTCCTGCACCACACTACATTCACCAAGATCCAAGGCATGTTGAGAAGAATCAGAAACATCCATTCCCTCTCTTAACAATAGCTCTATTTCTATGTGTACCTTAAAACTTTAGCAGACAGACACAGAGCAATACCTCTTACAACCCCAAAACACTCAGGACACATTTAAAAAATTAAGATTTTTTCCAAAAAAAGTATTTAAAATAATGTAGCATATTATGCAGTGTCCCCAGTGGAATCTAAACTCAAAATTAAACATATTAAGCCCCCTTTAAAGAACTATTTGTTTTTACCTGAGAGGAGTAGGTATGGCCATCTGAACCACAGACAGGACTGGTATAGACCATTGGACACTGCTTGCAGGTGGATGATGTGAGACCCCTCCACTGCTTATGGCCTACCCCTACTTCTTTCATACTGTTAAAAAGAAAGAAGAAAGAAAGCAACCACACTTAGTTCATTTAATTTTTACAAATGCATTTCTATTAACATGGCTTTCCTTTCTTATCTTATCAACTCTTGAAAAACAGAATCAGTAAACTGTATTCTCATTGACATTGAATTAATCTCTGCAGTGTTCTTCATTATAACTTTGTTTCACATTTCAATATTTGAATCTAATAAAACCTCTCCTTAAAAATCTTCTGCTGGTTACATGTAGACTATAGCTGTATTTCATTGAGTAGATTCTTTCCTTTTAATCTATAGCTGTGAAATGTATTTTCAATAACCCCAGAAGCAGAAGCAACACTTTTTCAGCAATACAGGACTCATGCATATGGCACTTTCTTTAAAGCTGCCCTTTGTATTCCCTTAGGAATATTGTGAAAAAAATAAACATCTAATTTACTGGGTGCTTGAAAATAAGAGCGGCTTACTTTTAGAGAAAATAGTAATAAAGTACTACAATTTTCCAGCACCTATCCGTATTTAGAGAACAAAATTAGTAGGTTTAGTGATAACAAATCCCCTTTTATTGTGTAGAATTTCTCAAAATGGATCCATTAGGCTTTGATCTAAAATAACTTGGGTAAAACCATCCTCTCCTGCTAGTATTTGTGTCTTTACTTGAATTCATCTGTGTTATTCCTCTGCTATTTGTGTGAATAATTTACACAAAAATAGAGAGGGCTTAAAACCAAGAAGAAATGGGATAGAGACTCTGTATCAAAACATTGACTTTATTAAGATTTAATTAGCACTCCCTCATTAATAAATACCTATGGAGAGAGTATAATTTGATGAGAATAAGACTCTTTTTCAGATTTTTCTTATTTTTTTTCCAGAAGTCAAATCTACAAAAAGTGTTCCCAAAGATGTTCTCAAAATACTATTTCAGAAGCATGGGGGGTGAGGTGTTTCATTTAGGGAAAAATGTTTATAAGTTTAAAATTTGTTAAAATTTAAATGGGCATTAAGACAACTGAAGCTCTTCCCCCCACTTCCAAAAAAACTTTTCATTGAGTCTACCAGAGTTCCAAGTATATTCCTTCATTTAAACATTGTAAATAATTCTTAAATAAATCATATTACAACCTTTCACAGCTTCAGAATTCATTTCATAGTAAAAACAATGGGAAAAAAATAGCCAGACTCTCATTCCTGATTAAATAATTGGCATAAAATCCTAATGGGAATTAAAATAATTACTGGAAAAACTGGGCTATTCTATGCCCTTTAAGATTCAAATTCCAGAACTTCAGCAAGGGGGGATGGAAAAATTAAACATTCTACGGGCATTGTTTTCATTTTGTGTAATCAAAATAAGGTAGAATATTAGGCAAAATTATTTTCTCTCCAGATACATTAGGGAAAGTATTTATTTTTTTGGTACCAGGAATTGAACTCAGGGGCACTCGACCACAGAGCCACACCCCAGCTCTATTTTGTATTTTTTTTTTTTTTTTTTTTTTTTTAAATTTTTTAATATTTATTTTTCAAGTATCGGCGGACACAACATCTTTGTTTGTATGTGGTGCATGAGGATCGAACCCGGGCAGCACGCATGCCAGGCAAGCGCGCTACCACTTGAGCCACATCCCCAGCCCCTCTATTTTGTATTTTTAAATACAAATAGTCTTATGAGTTACTTAGCACCTCACTTTTGCTGAGGCTGGCTTTGAACTCATAATCCTCCTGCCTCAGCCTCCCTAATTGCTGGAATTACAGGCGTGTGCCACTGCGCCTGGCCCAAGTTTGGGTTTCTCATCAATGAAAAACATTTTATTAGAATCAAATACAACCATAATAATAAATCAGATGCATATAGAATTGTTTATGTATCCTTTTGAATTTGCCTTTTTGTCCCCTTTCTTAATGTATCAACCTTAAAAATCCTCATGAAGTACAGAAACTAAAAAATTGTTATAATAATGACCTTCTTCTATAAATATATGTTTGGATGACTTACTAGAAAATCTTTATAATTTATTTCAAAGAATAAATATATCCAGAAATAATTTTTTAATTGCAAGATTTACTAGAAATATTTAACATTGAACAGATCTTAAACAGTGAAATTATAATGTACTTGTCAAGTAAGTTATGAGGTAAAACAAGCTTGTTTATTCTTGATCTGTTTGAGGTCACCCTTGTTGAAAAGAGATAAACTTTTTCAGATTCTTAAAGTAGATCACTAAAAATGATGAGGTTTTTGTGTAGTTTTGCTCCTGATGAGGATTTTCTCAAGTGAAATATAATCATCAAGATCAGAGTATGCATATATTTACATTTCAGTTGAATGTTATGGCAAACTATAACACTGCCTAAACAGAATATGTAGTTGTGCTTATTTTAAAATAAATAGAACATTATATGACATTAATAAGAATTTGTGTTTAATGAATATAATTCATACTATATAAAGAAGAGTAAATCATGCAGTTTTTATTATGGTTAATCAATCCTAAAATGCTTAATATTTTGTCATCCAAGGATGATTTTGATAGAGCAAATTTCCACTTTAGCACAATAGTTTAGAAAACTAGGACCTAAATTTGAAATCTGAAGTTCTAAATTTTATAGTTTTTATGTGTTCTTAAATCATCTCAAGACTGGTACATCACACATGAAAAAATTAATTACATTCCCTTTTCAATGAATCAGATTACATTTCAGTACAATAAAGAGCAGTATAAAAATGCTTTTTTTTCCAAATTTTTTAAAATTAAAGGCATTTTAAAAATGTTTTTAATTCAAAGTTGAAATTAGTGGAGAAAAACAAACAGATTTCTAAGAAATTCTACTTAAATAAAAAACACTTTTACAAATGTACCATTTAACAATGTACTGGTAAAATCAGTATACATACAAAAATAAGATGTATCTTCATTATTTCAAAGAACAAAATACCGATAATTGATGAAACAAGGCTTTTATAAGTGAAAAAAACTTATAATGTATCACTGTTAGAAAAAAAAAAAACTAACAATATAATGCAGCAGACACTTGGGCAAATAAAATGTTTCATTAAAAAGGTTTTAAGAGGGGCTAGGGCTGTGGCTCAGTGGTAGAGTGCCACATAAAAATAAATAAATAAGTAAATAATAAACAAACAAATGAATATATTGTATCCATCTATAACTAAAAACATATTAAAACAAACAAAAAAAATTCCCATTTCTCCTGATGGGCAGAATCATAGCCTCTGGGACAGCAGTTCCCTGTGTTTCTCCTTCACTAGCAAAGCAATGAAACGTCTTAGAAAAAGGCGGGGGCGTGGGGGAGTTAAGGGGTTCTGAATAACTGATAATTTCTAATGACAGAGGTCAGAAAGCCTTAGCTAAAGGCTTAGCCATAGATAGATATGCAGGTTGCCGACATTGTAGACACTTGTGATCTCACTACTGTGAAGTACTTCACTTGTCCAATTATATGTATCTCTGTTCATCATAGAATAAATTTTTGCATTTCAAGATTCCTTTTATCAGAAAAGTATCTTGTGACTCAGAATTTGTTTGGTTTGGCATCAGGTGTGCTTCTCAGAATAAACATTATTTATTATTTTATTAATGGAAATATTCTGTTCTCAGGAAGATCAATTTTTGTAGAAAAGGGTCATAGTTAAAAATTTCTGATATAATATCTCTGTATTTATTTTATGTAATATATAAACACATGTAATTGTATGAAAGTGAAGTTTATCTTTTGTTGTCGGTTTTTAATTGTATTTCAAAGTTCCTATTTTAGGGACAGCAATGTGTTTCTAAGACAGAGATGATGTCAGGCCAAGACAGGCAAAGGAACATGCTTAGGATAAGGTAAGTTGATGCAAGCTATCAGAATGGTTGCCTGGCAACTGGGAACAGAGAAATGACAGGTGAAAAAACTAGATCTAGCAAGAACATTTCTGCACATATTCATCTAAATATCTCAGATATAAAAAATACCTCTTAACCATTGTATATAAGTCTAATTTTTTAAAATACCAAGGGTCACTTTCTATTAATTATTTTGAATTATTATCTGATAGGGTAATGGGTAATATAATTTGTTTCCATTCATAACATACAAAATTCAAGACGACTGAAAAATTCTCAATGTATTTCGGAAAAACTCTTCCAAGAGCAACTGTGAAACATATACCTTCCAAAGAACTATTAATAAAGGAGACTTTGCTTTACAATTCAAGCTAAAAATCTACTGAGTTTCTAACTGCATTGTAGATATGCCCATATTTCCCTTAAGAATCAAAAAGAAAAAAATGTAATTAGAACCCAGGGAAATGAAACACTAAGTAAAAATACATGATAAACAAAGTCAGGGTATATTTTCCTCAAAATTTCCTTTTTAAATTTCATCATGCAGAGAACTAAGTTATTTTCCTACCAATATAACTGTCATTTTATTTCTAATTGCTGAAAATTTAAAATGACAAACAGAAATTTAATCCACTGTTGTCGTTTTTCTACACATCTCCTTTCCAGGGAGTGGAGTCATATTATCTGCTTATTAACTGAAGCATCATCTTGTATTTCTTATTCATTTTTTACTCTAGTCTGTTCTATCCTCTAGTATAGATCTCCCACATCAATCTCATATGAAAAACAACAATTTCTAATTTCTCTAATAAGTACAATGTTAATCACCGCTACACCTGTTTGCTCAATTAAGGTCTACTTAGTTTCTGTTCAGTTAATCGTGTTGTGCATTTTAACAACATAATTTTAAAGAAGCATCCATATTTTGGAGTTTCTATCAATTGTGCAAACAGGATAAATGATGTTACCAAAATGATTAAAAGGAAAAAAGAAAAAAACAACCTCATCCCAAGTTGATTTGTTTCACATAGAACCGTGCCATTAATCAGTCATGACAATTCAGTAACTTGTCATGGGTGTAAATTTCTTCAGTGGAAATTTTAGGTTTCATCATTATGAATCATTAAATCTTGAGCAACCCATGAATCTTTAACAAAA